GAGAGAGAGATGGGGAGAAGAGAGAAGAGAAAAAAGACTAGAGAAGAGAAGAGACAAGATGAGGCAGGAGAACATCAAATCCGCGCACTTTCGAATAAAAATTTATCAAAGCCGCACACTATCAGAGCCGTGCACTTTTTTATGATATCGATACAATTAGATTGACGATTACTAAAACCAATAGTATCCAGCAATTTTAGTTGTAGTTTAGTAAGAGTTTTATGGCGCTCGCAACTGCATACGGTCATATGAGCGCGCATCAAACAATTTAAGTATCCTCTGCGTTTTATTGGGCATTGGGACCAACATAATATTCGATTCTGTATTGAATGAATGGGCTTTTCAGGAATAAAAATATATCTACAGGACAGGGACGATCTTTAAAGTGCTGAGGCAGCATTTTCTTGCTCTTTCAGCGTTAAAAAAATTAAGTTTGTGAGACTTGTACATTTGCTTTTTACGCATTCTACCTTCTTTTTGGTAGTGCCTTTCTGTTTGGTCTTTGTTTTTGGTTTCAGCAAAGAAATGCTCTGGAAGTCTCTTAAAGCCTCCAGAAAGACGAATATATTTGGATGAGGGTTGTACAGAGTAATTTTGTCAAGAGGACTGTAACTGATGGATGGAATCGGCATTCTAATTGTACAAAAAGAGCGCCGCTCTGATAGTGCCCTGCATTGATAGGTGTTTGGGGGGGTCTCGAAAGTGCGCGGCTCCGACAGTTTCCCGATGAGACAATAATCCAGGGCCTTCTCCACAGACTGACACAAGAATTAGTTTGGTGCTCTGTGGCAGCCTTTGCAGTGCATTGCCACCCGCTCCTCGTGGACTTCTTCGACGGTGTTTTGTCGCACGCACTGGAAGCGGCCACTTACCAGATAGGCTGCTCACTGGAGGGCACTCGTCACACAAGTGAGTTCATTTCGCCTTGGTTTTACTTAAGCGACCTGATAATTGGTATTATTATTCATAATGATATTAATAATGAAAATAATAATAATAATGATAATAATAACAATAATAGTAATAATATGATAATAATAATAATGATAATAAT